GACCACTCTCGCCTTTCACTTGATTTTAGGTTAACAGGTACTAACCCTCTTCCCTGCTTATTGCTTTTAGGAGCATATTATGCAATTCACTGTAATGATGTAATTTTTGAACAGTTACTTAAACCTGGTAAAATATTAGTTGAATTCAGAAAATAATGAAACAGCCCTGCCCAGTGTGGCTCAGTTGGTTGGAGTGTTGTCCTGTACACTAAAAGGTTGCGGGTTCGACCCCCGGTTAGGTTGCATATGGGAGGCAGCCCAATCCACGTTTCTTTCACATTGATGTCTCTTTCTTCCTCTCTCTAAAATCAATAAAAACATATTCATGGGCAAGGATTAGTAAAGAGAGAAAACAGTGAAACAATGTGTATGTCTTTGTGGGTGAGAGAGAAGGAAAGAGGCAGAGGAGAGGAAAGAAGCAGAGAGACAGAGGGAGGGAGGGAGGCCACTTCTCCGTGAACATTATATAATAGAAATAACATTTCTTTCAGTAGATGTGTAGCAAATAAAACACTGCACTTACATTAAAAGAAGAAGGGCCTCTAAGTCAGTATGGGGAGTTAGGGAAGGCTTCCTGGAAGAAGAGATAGTTCAGATGAGACTGGAAAGTTGAATAGGAGTTAACTAGATGAAGGGAAGCTTTAGGAGGGGAGGAAATGTTCGAGGCAATGGGAATAATAGGAGCAAACACTGGGACATGGAAGAGGAACTATTCTTGGGGAACTTACGACTTAATGCAAATTTCATAAACTTAAAAAAAAATTTTTTATTTTAATATAATTTCAAACTCACAGAAAAGTTGTAAGAAACTCCCACATACTCTGCCCATTTGCTTTCCCCTCTTCCTAACACACACTCCCCAAATTACTTGAGAACAGATTGCCAAAGTCATGTTCCTGAACCCCTAAATAGTATTTCCTAGGAACAAGGATATTCTCTTATAACCAATACCAGACAATTTAACATTCTGACACTATTATCCAAGCTACAGTCCATAGTGAAATGCTACTTATTTCCCCCAAAATGTCTTTAGAGCTATATTTCCCCCAGTCCAAGTCCAACTCAAGGCCATGTGTTACATTTAGTTGTCTCATCTCTAAAAAGTTTTTCAGCCTTCCTGTCTTTCATGACCTTGCCATTTTTGAAGAATACAGGTTGATTATTTATAGAATGAGCCTCCATTTATGATTGTCTAATGCTTTCTCATGATTAGATTCAGGTTATGCATTTTTGTCAGTAATACCATGTGGTTATCTGTTGAGTTTACCACATTTCTGAAATCTTGATGCTTTAACACCTGCCCTATGTGCATATGCTGGACACACCTTGTTCTGGGCAACCTGACAATATGCCCGAATCCCCTTGCCTTGGCCTCCTGCCTCCCTCCATGTCTCCCCGTGAGAGTTCTCTCCAGGGAGTGGTTTTCAAATATAAGTTAGCCAATCCGAAACCTGCTTACCCTGTCTGCCGGTCCCTTCCCTCTGAAACCACAGCAGAGGCGCTTGTCCACAGTTCCCCCCTTTCTCTCCCAGAGTGAAGACTTCAGTGGTTCCCTGTGTGACCCCCAAAGGTGTCACCTGTATTCCCTCTCTTGGGACCTGTGAGTATAATAAACTATCTTTTCAATGGCAGCTGTCTCCTGATTTGTTGACCTTCCCATACCTAAATAATAATTAAGCCTATTAAAACATTTGCCAGTTTCTCTTTTTATTTTATTTTTTTTAGAACAATAAGCACCCTTATTACATGATCTAAGATAGGAGGGAGGGGAATTTATTTGCCTTTCTGAGCCTTGATTTTCCTCAGCTAGAACTCCAGCTCCTTGCCCTGCAGCACATAGCCCTCCACTCGGCCACATTGGCCTGGTTTTGGAGCGATGATGTAAAAAGCTTGCCTTGCTGGAACTGCTTCTCTAGGAAACTGCTGACTTTGGCATTCTTTCTCCTTTCATCATATTTTTTCTGACTTTTCTTTGATTGTTTTTTTTGTTTAAAATCTCTTCCTCCTCAGGAGTCGGCTTGGTCCCCTTCTTGCGGCCCAGAGGCAGCGCATCGTGGGACTCCTGGGAACGGTGGGCTGCCCATGAGCACAATGCAGCTCTTTACTAGGGTCTTGGAGTGGGCCAGTGTGTTGTTGGATGAGCTGTAGTTAACACTAGTAATCCTTGTTTTGCACGTACAGTACTCTGAGCCCCAGGAGAAGTTGCCCATGCCCAGCCTCAAGGCGCTGAGCTTCCTGTTGCCTCCCGGCACGCACACGGGCTGTGGACGTTTGGCAGGGGCCTTAGTGTTGTCAGCAGGGCGTCCTTGCTTATATTTTGCTTCTTCTGGTAGGACTTTCTCGTCCCCAGTCTTGCAGTGCTTGTGCCAGTTGTCCCGAGGGATACCCATGGCTTGGCGCTGGCTGCAAAGAGCACTCTTTTAATTAATAAGTAATTTGTGGGGAGATACTTCAAACTTTTTTTCAAAACATGTTTTTATTGATTTTAATTGAGAGAGAGAGGGGGAAGCATCAATGGGCGGCCTCCTGCATGCCCCCTACTGGGGATCCAGCCTGCAGCCTAGCAGGTGCCCTGATGGGGAATTGAACACCTCGACTTTTGGTGCATGGGATGGTGCTCAACTGAGCCACACGGTCCAGGGCATTCAAACTATTTTGTGTGTGACCAAGATGGATAAGAAGAAATATTTTTTACATGGTGACACACACATATGTACATATATCTGAAATGAGAGTTTAGTGAAGCAATACATATCCTTTCCATATGAAAGTCTTTTTAGTTTCTATTCTATTCTGCTTCATTTGAAAATAATTCTGTCTTACCTACTAAATTGATTGCACAACCCCCTAATGGGTAACGAGTTTTATTTGAAAGCACTAGTCTGATGGAAATATCACTTTGGATCATTTGCTTGCAGAAAGGAAAATAGACACACAGAAGGGGTGAGGGGGCAGGGGACGGGGCACACAAAATTGACAGCTAGCAGCCTGTTGAAAGGCTCTTGCCGTAACTCAGATGAGAGAGGTTGGTGGCTGCAGGTAGTGAGGTTGAGAGAAGTAGGTGGGTTTGAGAGAGAAATGAGTGGATTAAGGAATCTGAGTTAACAGAATTTCATGATTGATTGCATACAGGGGCGAGCAAAAGAGGGAAGAGTCAGAATGACAAGTAAGGCCTTGGCCTCCGTGGTGGATGATGGTGCCTCTTGCTGAAATAAGGAACACTTACAGGTCTATGGTTCAGGCTCCATCATGTTGTTTGGTTTTAGGCACATTGGATTAGAGCCATTCAGTGGTCAGTTGACTCCATGGCACTCAGGAGATAAATCTGGGTAGAATTAATAGAAAATTGAAGTTGGATTTTACTCAAGGAGATTTTACAACTTCATCACCATTGCAGAAAGCAGAAATTGGTTCAGGATAGGAAAAATGCTCTGGAAATATTTCCAGCAATTTGGTGTTGAAACGCATAAGTAAAATAATACAATCAAAATTATATCAAGGAAGTCAATTGACATGATTTGTTTAGAATCAATTTCACGTTCAGCACTTTCCTCTCTCCTTTGGTTAACCACTCTGCCAAGTCTTATATACACATATGTAGAGAGAAATGTGGAAAATAAATTATACTTTTGCATTACATAGAAACAATGCCGGCTTACAGCACAACCGCGTTAACCTGGGCTTTTTCAGATGCTGGTCCTTAGGTTTAATCTTCCAAATACAGCAACTAGCATTCTCACGTGTTAGACACCGGAGACAAACGCGCGCGTGGTGCGGGCTGCAGAAGATGCCTGTTTCCAATGGTACGAGTTTGAGGGGAAAAAAGTGTTTTCCCGTGGAAAAGGGCATGGGTGTGTGAGTTTACATACACAGTGCTGGAAACGACGGTCCTCGCCGGCAGCCGCCTCTCGCCCCAACCTGCATCTGCTCCCTCCCTGGGGCTCCCTCCCCCGCCGGCTCCCGCGTTACTCTGGGATTAGCGGCGGGGCGGCCCTGCGCTCAGGCGCAGCCGGCTCCCGCGGGCCCGAGCCCCGCTGTGCAACCACGTCAGGAATTCCAGTAAGTTGGCAACACAGGAGCACAAAGACAGCAACAATGAGGAAAACCCTTCAGTGCAGAAAGGAATGTTTGCAGCCCCGGCTGCTGCAGTGAAAGGACACGCGCGCGCGCGCGCGCACACGAGCCCGCGCCCCCTCACGCGCCCACGCGGGAACTGGGAGGACCCCCACTTCCTCGCGTGCGGCACCCACGCGGGCCCGGCGCCGCCCTTTGCAGCCCGCGGTGCGGGGCGCTCATTGACTATGC